CTAAAGAATAATTATTGTTGGGACCCCTGGTGCATGGCCCCCCCGCCGCGCCTAGGCCGCAGCCACATTTTCATCATTTTCGTGAGGAAGTCTCAGGCAAAACGGGTTGGTCCGGATCCGGTTGTGTTGTTACGATCGGTTTTCCCTTGAAAAAAATAAGCTAAAGTGGACATTTCTTGTTCTAACATAACCAAACTTCAAGAATCCCTTGCAAAAAATAAGGTAAAGTGGACATTCGCGCGCGCAAGACGAAATCCTTCCAAAACCTTAGTTTTCGTAGCGATTTTAACATAAAAACATCAAAAAACCAATGGTTTTTTTTCAAAAACAAAAATGTCAAAATTTCATCCCGCGCGCTCTTGCGGATTTGTAGGAAACCCAACACTTTTAAATCATTTCTGTCAAACGGGCTTTTGCGAGCAACTTTTTCGAACTTCTGCAACAACGGTTGCGCACCTGCCAGGGCCATCATCCCTGTCAAATAATACCATGCGGGACACATTCGTTTTTCTTCGCGCGCGCACGCCGTCGACGTCGGCCGCGGGGCCCTGAATAGTAGCCACGGTCGTCCGCATGCCACGAAGTGAAGTGTCCGAACGTCAAGGGCGGGAAGCTGGGTGTGGGTGGTGGCGAAGAGTCGTTTGGAAATTTGGTAGAGCTTGAACCGGCCCCCCCACAAAGTGGGGGTATTGCCCGCCTCCTATTTTTGGGGGAAAAACCCTGGCACTGGTTGCGAACGGTGTCCCACGGCTAGTAAGTGTGTTGCTGTGTTGTTGTTGTGTGTTGTTGTGTTGTTGTTGTGTGTGTTGTGTTGCGTTGTGTTGTGGTTGTTTTGTTGTTGTTGTTGTGGTGTGTGTGTTGTTGTCCAGGGAAACCTCACGAGGACACATGGGGGCGCCCGCTGCTCTACCCCCCCCTCCCCGGAGCAACGCGCAACGCCACGGGGGCCCGAGGGGCCCCTCTAACTTCGGCGCACCCCTCTCGAGGATCGTGGCCCTGGCCTCACAGAGGGCTCCTCCGAAGTTTCATTTCGGCACACCTCTCTCGAGGATCGTGGCCCTGGCCCCACGGGGAGCTCCTCCGAAGTTTCATTTCGGCACACCCCGCTCGAGGATCGTGCCCCTGACCCCGCAGGGAACTCCACCGAAGTGTCACTTCGGCACACCAGCTTCATTTCGGCAGACCCCTCTCCAGGATCTTGGCCCTGGCCCCACAGGGAGCCCCACCGAAACTTCATTTCTGCATACCCCTGTCGAGGATCGTGGCCCTGGCCTCACAGAGGGCTCCTCCAAAATTTCATTTCGGCACACCCCTCTCGAGGATCGCGGCCCTGGCCTCACAGGGAACTCCACCGAAGCTTCATTTCGGCACACCGCTCTCGAGGATCGTAGCGTCACAGAAGGCTCCACCGAAACTCCCTTTCGGCACACCCCTCTCGAGGGTCCTGGCCCTGGCCTCACAGGGAGCTCCACCGAAGTTTCATTTCGGCACACCCCTCAAAGAGGATCGAGGGTTCCTATAGGATCCGTAGAGGCCCTATAGGATTCCTATAGGATTCCCATCGGATTCTTAGGGGCCCTATAGGTTTCGCATGAGATCCCCATCGGACTCCTAGAGGCCCGATAGGATTCGTATTGGATTCCTATGGGATTCGTAGAGGACCTATATGATTCATATCGGATTCCTATAGGATCCGTAGAGGCTTATAGGATTCCCATAGGATTCTTATAGGATTTGTAGGGGCCCTTCAGGATCCCCCAAGGATTCCGACAGGATTCATAGAAGCCACATCGGATTCGTATCGGATTCCTGTTATACGATTCGTAGAGGCCCTATAGGATTCCTATCGGATTCCCATCGGATCCCCATCGGTTTCTTTCAGGCCCTACAGGATTCGCATACAATTCCTATAGGATTCGTAGAAACCCTATAGGATTCGTATGGGATTCCTACAGGATTCGTAGAGACTCTGTAGGATCCTACAGGATTCGTATAGGATTCTAGAGGCCTGTAGGATGCCCATAGGGTTCTTATAGGATTCGTAGAGGCCCTATAGGATTCCCATAGTATTCCGAAAAGACTCGTAGAAACCCTATAGGATTCGTTTAGGATTCCCATAGGACTCGTAGACGTCCCATCGGATTCTTACAGGCGCTATAGGATTCGTCTAGGATTCCCATAGGATTCGTAAGAGGCTCTACAGGATTCGTATAGGATTCCCATAGGATTCGTAGAGGCCCTGTCGGATTCCTAATCAGGATTCTCATAGGCTTCTTAGAGGCCCTATAGGATTCGTATAGGCCCTATAGGATTCGTATCGCATTCCAATAGGATTCGTAGAGGCCCTATAGGATTCCCATAGGATTCTTTAAAAAAGGTTTCGTAAAAACCCCAAATGATGCTTATACGATCCCCATAGGTTTCGCAGAGGCCCTATTAGGAGTCCCGTGCTGATCATGTCATCCCGAGAAGCTCGCTGCGCCGGCGGCCACACAGGATCCGCTGGCAGGAATACGTTGGCGTACGTAAGGGCGTCCTCGCAGATTCTGTGGTCCTCGCAGGGCGTACGTAAGGGCGTCCTCGCAGGTTCGTAAGGGCGTCCTCGCAGACTCGCGTCCGCAGGCAGGAATACGTTGGCGTACGGAAGGTCTATACCAATTGTAAGAGAATGCCACAGAGGTGTTGCGCGTTGCTCTCCCGCCCCCCCCCCGGGGCAGCAAGCGCAACGCGGGCGTAGGCGTGTGCGCTTGCCCCGGGGGCGACCGCACATCCCCCGGTCCGGCCGGCCGGCCGCGGGAGAGTGTCCTTGCGTTATTATTATTATTGTTGTTGTTGTTGCTGTTGTTGTTGTTGTTGCTGTTGTTGTTGTTGATGTTGTTGTTGTTGTTATTGTTGAACATTATTACTTCTAAAGAATAATTATTGTTGGGACCCGTGGTGCACGGCCCCCTCGCCGCGCCTAGGCCGCAGCCACATTTTCATCATTTTCGTGAGGAAGTCTCAGGCAAAACGATGTGATCCAGATCCGGTTGTTTTGTTACGGGCGGTTTTCCCTTGCAAAAAATAAGGCAAAGTGGACATGTCTTGTTCTAACATAACCAAACTTCAAGAATCCCTTGTAAAAAATAAGGTAAAGTGGACACTCGCGCGCGCAAGACGAAATCCTTCCAAAACCTTAGTTTCGTAGCGATTTAACAAAAAAACAAAAAAAAACCAAGGTTTCAAAAAAAACGTTGAACATCTACCCGCGCGCTCTTGCGGATCGTAGAAAAACCCAACACTTTAACATTCTGTCAAAAGGATTTGCGAGCAACTTTTTCGAACTTCTGCAAAAACGGTTGCGCACCTGCCAGGGCCATCATCCCTGTCAAATACTACCATGCGGGACACATTCGTTTTTTCTTCGCGCGCGCACGCCGTCGTCGTCGGCCGCGGGGCCCTGAATAGTAGCAACGGTCGTCCGCATGCCACGAAGTGAAGTGTCCGAACGTCATAGGGCGGGAAGCTGGGTGTGGGTGGTGGCGAAGAGTCGTTTGGAAATTTGGTAGAGCTTGAACCGGCCCCCCACAAAGTGGGGGTATTGCCCGCCTCCTATGAAAACCCTGGCACTGGTGAGAACGGAGTGTCCCACGTGCTAGTAATTGTGTTGTGTTGTTTTTGTTGTTGTTGATATTGTTGATATTGTTGTTGTTATTGTTGTTGTTGTGCTTGTTGTTGTTGTTGCTGTGATTGTTGTCGTTGTTGCTGCAGCTGCTGTTGTTGTTGTTGTTGTTGTTGTTGTTGTTGTTGATGTTGAGGCCTCACCCCTGAAGAATAATGATTGTTGATCCTTTTCACCGGTACATATTGTTTTTCCAAGTCAAAGTGTGCCTCTCGACGCTCGCACTTAGTTTTTTTGACAGGGAAAGTCTTCTTGGTCAAACTGTGCCCCTGGCCCCTCAGACTACAATAACAACGGCTCCCGCCTGAGACTTCTTCTAAATTTACTCAGGCCCCCCCCTCCCGTCTGAGACTTCCTCCCAATTTACTCAGGAACGGCGCTCCTGCTTGAAACTTCCTAACAATTTAGTCCGGGTCAAACTGCGTTGCTGCTCCCCTGGACTATAACAACAACGGTTCCCGCCTGAGATTTCCTCCAACTTTACACAGGACCCCCGCTCCCGCCTTAGACCTCCTTCCAATTTACTCAGGATCGGCGCTCCCGCTTGTGATTTCGTCGCAATGTAGTCAGGACCCCCCCTCCCGTCCGAGGCTTCCTCACAATTTACTCAAGAACGGCGCTCCCGCTTAAGATTTCCTTGCGCTTTAGTCTAGACCCCCGCTCCCGCCAGACATCCCCTTTTCAGGAATTGCGCTCTCGCCTGTGACTTTTTCGCAGTTTATTCAGAAATCGTTTCCCTGTTTAGGGGCTTCTCCAATTACACGCGGCCAGGGAGAAATATACCCCCCAAAAGGGGGTACGATCGAAGGGGAAGAGGGCGGGTATCCAGGGTTTGGGATATGCATAGTGAATGACACGCGGGCCGGTAGAAGCGAACAGTCTTGGAATGATTTTTGTTGTTGTTTTTGTTGTTGTTGTCGTCGTCGTCGTCGTCGTCGTCGTCGTCGTCGAGCAGGAAGACCAGGTGGAACGAGGAGAAGTATAATGGGAAGGAACGGGAGCAGGGGGAGGATGAGCAGGAGGCGGCCCAAGGCTTCATGTTGCCTGCAGAGACGGCGATGGCGAGGAAGCAAAGGAGTGAAGTCCTATGATGTGCCACCCAAGGATTAAGTCGGGCCTTTGCGCGGCCGCCGCGCGTCCAAAGACGCGCGCCGAGTCTTGGCTGCATACGTACTCGCCTCCTTCGCCCTCCTTCTTCTCCTTCTCCTCGCGAGCGCCCGGCGCCTTTCTAGGCACGGGCGCGGGACACCCCCCGCAGCACTTCTTGCTCCTGTTCCTCCTCTTTCTCCTCGCACCACCCCGATCTCCGAATGTCGCCCGTATCCGATTTTGGGCTTTCAGTGAGCCGAAGTGGCGGCGCCGCCCCTGGCCATGAGGCGCCTGCGAGAGCTCGGCTCAGCCGCCATCGGCGGCCCTGGCTCGGGCGAGCCCTCGCTGGACGTGCCGCCGGCAGCAGATGCCGCGGTCGTGCTCAGCGAGACGGTGCGCGGGTTGTCCATCACCCAGAGCAAGCTGTACATGGCGCTGAAGCGGCTGCTGGTCGTGGTGGGGCTTTGCTCTACGTTCTACATCCTGTGGTTTGTGTTCGAGCTGACGACCGGCTCCTACAAGCCCGACGGCAGCGACCTGTGGAACGGACAGGCGGTGAGCGACGACAGCGACGGCGCCGGCACCAGCGAGGACGGCGAGAGAGGCACGACGGGAATTCTCGGCCTGCTCATCCAGCTGGCGGTGCCTCTCTGCGGCTACATGGGGGTGACGCACGGCAGCAGGCAGCTCACGTGCTGCTTCTGCGGCTGCAACCTCTTCAGGTCCCTCTGGGCGCTGACGGCCCTGCTTAGACTGACGATGGATGGGCAGCTCGAGGCCAGCGTCAGCAGTCTGAGGTACGTGCTGTTGGTGCATAGCCTGAGGTGCGTCTTGTGTGCCATCGCATTCTGTCTTGGCAATCACGCCTACATGCTGATGTCTGGGGACCGGGGGGCACCAACTGTGCACCTACGCCGAGCCTGGCCAGGCCCAGCCTCGACCGAGGACCAGCGTGCATCTGCCCCCCCAAGGGCGGCGATGATGCAGGCCCGAACGTCGTCCTGGGCCCGGGAGGGGCCCAGCCAGCCTCGGTGCCGGCGCACAGCTGCGGTTCTCTTCAGGGCCCTCGCCCGTCCCAGCAGTTCCTCTTCCCGCTGGTCGGCGAGATCGTCACGATGCCGCCTCCCAGGGCGACGGCGGGCGTGGGCGTCCCCACCGCCGAGGGTGTCCAGGCGTAGCCACAGAGCGTGGCACGGAGCGGCTCGTGGCGCTGGGCGCGGCACTGCGCTGGGCGCCGCTGCACCTCCGCTGGTCGTTCGAGCGAGCCCTTGTTCCGGCGGGGCTGGAGCAGATGAGGTTGGAGGATCGCGCTGCATCGGCGATGCATCGGCGCCGCAGCACCACTAGAGTCAACGCGCCCAGTAAGGACGCGCGCCTTCATCTAGGGTGCTCTTGTGTCCTTGCCTCTGCGGCCCGTCCTCTGCCCCCCACGAGACGACGCAGACTGGTGTGGAACTCGCCGGAAGCACGATTCGCACGACGTGAGCTCCAGTTTTTGCTCGTCCCGACCTGATCTGAGCTGTGGTTTCTTCCCAGTTTTTTTCTCCCAAGCGAGGTGGGCCAGCCTGGGATGGAACCAAGCCCGATCACAACAGCCTGGTCCAGCACCCCGCCGGATGATACGGCGCCAAGTCTCCGATTCCGAGTGTTCGTCACGGGCCTTTCAAAAATGCCATTTCGTTGATCGATGGCGGAGCCCATCGTGTGTGGGTCGAGGGATTCGGGGGAACCTCTTGATTCAGAGTGGCTACGGAGTGCGCTCCTAGATTGGGCAGCGGCCTGGGCACCACTTCAGGTATATCCACGCAGTCGACGACGTCCTCGGGCGGGTCGGGCGGGCGGGTCGGGCGGGACATGAAAGCGAGCGGGCGGGCTCGCCAGCACGCGAACGGGCGGTACCCCAACGGGCGGGTCGGGCGGGCAGGACCTTCACGGGCGGGCTGGGCGGGCGGGGCCCTGGCGGGTGGGCCGGGCGGGCGGGCGGGACCCTGACGGGCGGGTCGGGCGGGCGGGACCCTGACGGGCGGGCCGGGCGGGTGGGACGTTCAAGCGGGCGGTGTCGCTGGCACGCGAGCGGGCGGAACCCCAGCGGGCGGGCGGGCTTGCCGGCACGCGGGACCACCACGGGCGAGTCGGGCGGGCGGGACCCTAACGGGACCGTGGGGCGGGGATGCACCCGAACGGGCGGGTGGGGCGGGCAGGGCCCTCACGGGCGGGCCGCGCGGGCGGGGCCTCGGACGGACGGGTCGGGCCAGCGCGGCCCTGAGGGGCGGGCCGGGCGGGCGGGGCACTTCGGCGGGCGCGGGGCCTGGCGAGCACGCGAGGGTACTGGGCCCGAGCTGCGACGACGGCGACGGCGACGGCGACGGCGACGGCGACGGCGGCGGCGGCGACGACGACGACGACGACGGCGACGATGCCGGCGAAGACGACGACGACGGCGAGCGACAACAGCGACGACGACGATTGACGACAGATGCGACACGCGGGTCGGCGAAACCAATCGTCGGCGAAACCAACAGGCGGGTCGGCGAAACCAGCCGGGCCAAACCAGCGTCGGCGAAACCAGCCGTTGGCGAAACCAGTCGGGCGAAATCAGCAGGCGAAGCCAGCGGGCGGGTCGGCGAAACCATCAGTCGGCGAAACCAGGCGGGCAATGACCAGCTGGGCGAAACCAGCCGTCGGTGAAACCAGACGTCGCCGGGAGCTTGTAGGAGGATCCTTGAGCCGCCTTAGGGTCCTCTTGGGCCCCCCTTGGGGGCTCTTGGACCGTTTTGGTGCGATCTTGGGCGCCTCTTGGGCCGTCTTCGGCGCTCTGAAGACCGAGAAGGTGGTCACGCGAAAACCGTACCGAAATCAAGAAGATCTGGGGCCATGTGTCGCCCTCCGGGGCCTCCAAGACGGCCCAAGAGGCGCCCAAGAGGGCTCCAGGACGGTCCCCGCGGCGACCTGAGAGCCATGGTGGACATGCGTGTCTCCAGGCAAGTCACGCGGGGACCTCCCAGTAGCGCGCAGAATGGCGCGAGAGCGCCCGGGAGCGCCCTGGAGTGCCTGGAACTGCGGGCCCTGAGCCCTTTTGGAAAGAGTTGCAGATCTCAGCTCAGAGAACTCGAAGGGACCTGTGGACGCTCCATCTCGTGCCTCAGGGCACGGTGGCGGAGATATACACACGTTCTCATCTAGTTGTATGTTACCACTATGATCATGCATGTCTGTCTGTCTGTCTGTCTGTCCGTCTGTCTGTATGTATGTATGTATATATGTCTGTATGTCTGTATGTCTGTATGTCTGTATGTCTGTATGTCTGCATGTCTGCATGTCTGTATGTCTGTATGTCTGTAGGTCTGTATGTCTGTATGTCTGTATGCCTGTATGCCTGTATGCCTGTATGCCTGTATGCCTGTATGCCTGTATGCCTGTATGTCTGTATGTCTGTCTGTCTGTCTGTCTGTCTGTCTGTCTGTCTGTCTGTCTGTCTGTCTGTCTGTCTGTCTGTCTGTCTGCATGCATGCATGCATGCATGCATGCATGTATGTATGTATGTATGTATGTATGTATGTATGTATATTTACACATACAGGTATACAGTGTGTATGTGTGTTTGTATGCAGGTATGCATGTATGAAACATGAAAGAATGAGTGAACGAATGTGTGTGTATATATATGCACCAGCGCACAAATGTTTGTGCCTATATGTCTACACAGTTTCTATAGGCTTACGCCACATCCGCCGACCCCTCTATAAACTACTGCGCGTCCAGGACTGCATTCCACGAGGCTTGTCCGATTCCTGGGAGGTTCTTGGGGGCGTTTGGGGGCTCTGTTCGGGCTCCCTGGGAACTTCTTGGGGCGTGTTGGGGGCTTCTTGAGGCATCCTGGGGGCGTCCTGGGGCCGAAGGCTGGAAATGTGGGTTCGGGTTCCTTCCGTGGGCCCCCTTTTGGCGCCGTCCAGGGGCCCTTTGGGGCCGTCATCAGGGCTTCTTTGGCGGTCTTGGGACCCTTGTGGGCCGTCTTGGAGCTGTCCTAGGGGTCTTTTGGGCCGTCTTGCACGGTATGACAGCGCAAGAGGCGAATATGTTTAAAACATACGTTTTCCTAAGGGAATGGGGCAATTTTCACTTCTTCGGTGCCTTTTGGGAGGCCTCTTAGAGTCCAGAGGCCTCTTGGGGCGTTTTGGAGGCATTTTGGGCCGTCTGGATGCCATCTTGGGCGTCTTGGAACGATCATTCGACGATTCGGGTCCTCTTGGATTGTCTTGGGGCCCACTGGGGGCCCTCTTGGCCCGTTTTGGAGCCCTCTATGCTCCCATGACGCGTTCGTCCGGGGCCGGGGAGGGGGTCAAATCTCCGCTTTGGGGTCCCTGGAGGGGGGGGTTGGGGGGGAACAATCTCACACGCCTAGAGACCCACAAAGGGTCGGCGGATTTGCACATGTGTGTATGTATGCGTGAGTGATTCCGCATGTCTTTACATGCATGTGGCCAGTTGGTGTCACCTGGACGCCTGTATCTTGGCCTGCCTGTCACACCCTTTCGCTGCGCAAGCGCGCAGCCAGCTCCGCTCAGCGACGATGTTTTGAAATGTGCGGGTGCTTAGTTTGTCTCTCCACCTGACTTCTTTCAATTCCCATCACTATCAGTCCCTCCCCTTTACTTCTCGTCTCCATGTCCCCCTCAATTTGCCTTCCCATCCTCCTCCATTCATTTTCTTTTCCTTATGGATAACTCCTCCCTGTCGCACCCCGAGGCCAGTTTTTAGGGCGAGCCGGGCGTTTCGCCTGAGATTTTCTCACCATCTATGATTCTGAAGCTTAAGAAGTGACAACAGTTTCACAGATGGAGGGCGGGTGGTTTTCAATATGTGGCTCTCGCCTTAGTGCCGCGCACATTCGTTTTCAAAATTTGCACAGGGTTTCACGGATTGAGGGCGGGTCGTTTTCAAAATGTGGCTCTCGGCTCAGCGGCGTGTGCATTTTGCACCAATTTGCGAGGGTTTCACGGATTGAGGGAGGTTCTTGTTCAAAATGCGGCTCTCGCGTTAGCGCCGCGCACATTCGTTTTCAAATTTTATAAGATTTTCACGAATTCCCATGATCAGCGTACCCAAAATGGTGTTTTGGAAGGATTCAGGATTTTGCGGGTGCAACAGTTATGTTGATTCGCTGTGTCGAAGCCCCCCAAAATTGCGTTATGGCACGATTCTGGATCGCCAAAACGCAGCAGTCAGGTTGATACGTGGCGTTGAAATCCCGAGAACAATGTTTTGGCATGCTTCAGGATCTTCAAACGGTTGTCTTCCAACGGGGCACTTCGCTCAATGGCAATGAACCGTTGTAGAGGCCTTTGAAGATGGAGCTTGGAGGGAGGGTGAATTCCAACATCGTTGATGACACTTGGGTTTACACTGGACCTCCTCCTCTTCCTCCTCCTCCACCTCCTTTCCCTCTTCCTGTCCCTCGTACTCTCCCTGCGCTGGAGACACCGGGAATCATATTTGGCAGTCTTGGGCGTTCCTTTTAGGCTGTCTTGCTCGTGTTGGGGCTCTCCGTGGTCCCGCTTGAGCAATCTTAGGGCCATCTCCAACCCTCTGGAGCGCATCCATCAACAGCCCTGAAAACATCTTGCGCTGGAACGCCTTGGAAGCAAACGACAATGGTCAGTTAATTACAATGCTACTGTACTGATTTTGGCATCTCAGGGGCCTCTCGTGGAGGGCGTCTTGGAAGCCACTTGAGGCATCTTGGGTGCTCTTTGGGCTGTCTTGGGGCCTGTTTGGGACTCTAGCTTGTGGGGCAATCGTGGGCTATCTTGGGTCCATCTTGGGCCGCCTTGTGCCCCTCTAGGGGCCTTTTTGAGTTGTGCTTGGGCTCCGTGGGGCATTTTTTGGGTGATTCACTATGCGCTCGCACAGCACCGAAGAGAAACATGCTGACCAATAGAACACTCCAGGCGTCCGACTGACGCCTAACATGTGTACGGCCTTGGGGCGGGACTGAAATACGAGCGAACAATCTATTAGACTTGCAGGTCCCTCTACGGCTCAAGTAACCTTCTGGGCGCGAGTCGCCAGCACGCGTCATTGTATAGCGCTGCTTCCATCATCGGAAGGACGTAGCGCCGCTGCGACGCTCCGACCATCAGGGTCGTGTGGCGTCACCGCCACGCAAGCCCACTCACGCATTTGCATCACTGGGCACACGCAGGCAGCTCCGAGGAGGTTCCTCCCCCCTTGACTGTACAGGTAGAGCGTGGAGGAACTTCCATAGGAATTGGCAGCATCTGTTGCAGGCTATCGCTGTGCTGCTGCCTGCGTGTCTCAGTCGCGTGCGTCCTATGCGACATGTCGTGCACCTGCCACTGTGACTTGTGTACGACACTATCTGGCACAGATGGCGATGAGCTCCGTTATCTAGATTCATCAGGAGGGGAGAACTGTTCCTGGCCCGATCACCCCCCGTGCATGCAGGACCTAATTTCTGGAATAGTCTTACGTGATTCATGGGACTGTCTGCGATGAGCATCCCGATGGTCGGATGCATCTGTAAATTTTCAGGGAGGCGCCTGGGCCCTTTGCGAGGTCACTCCAGGCGCTGGAAGTGTGCGTTGCATGCTCGTCGGCTCCCGACAGGGATTCCTGGTGACACTATTCGAAGGAGCAGTACACGGACTGCAGTTTTAACCAAACTCAAACACCAACCATGAACCCTGAGTTTACCATAGCGTATCACAACTGATATATGTTTGCCTTCCGAACGACACCATAACTTGACCCCCCCCGGCCCCGAACTGACGTCGAGCCTGGCCATCACCGTCGCCCCGACATTTCCATAACCATAATCTGCTCCCACTCCGCGCCCTGACCCTGGTCTGACTAGAACCCCAAGACTTGGAGGTTCCCAAACATTGAGGCCCTAGCGGATGTGGCGGGAGCTCCTGTTCGCGCGGGCTCTCGCGTGCCCGATTTTTTCGCGATGTCCACTTGGGTATGTGCTGTTCTCGTGGACGGCCAGGTTCAAGTGGGCAGCCCAGGGCAGCCCTGCACTCGCTGTCTTAGCGGAGAGCTGTGTGCCTCCTTCGCTGAGCTCAGTTGTTGGTGATTTGACGCGTTAGCAGCATGTGCTTCAGAGGAATGTGATCGTTTTCTTATTCATTGTTTTGCCGATCGGCGCGGGCTCCGTTGGCCCCCCCCCCCCCTCCCACCCCATGGAGTAGATCTTGGCTGTTTTGGGCGCCTGCTCCGAGCAGGTGGAGTCTCCCCCCATAGGACACACTGTGCAAACAGTCGCATTAAGCAGAGGTCAAGAGTTAGACCAGAACCCCCCCTCCCCCCCCTTCTGCCCAATGTCGAAACGCTGAATCAGAAAGCGCTCACAGTATGGGTGCCGAGCAATACGGAACAATCCGCCTGGTTTCGGACTCTGGCCATGCATTTTCCCTGGGCATGCCAGGTTGTGAAAGCATGCTACGGATGAGCACGGCCCAGTGCGTCTCCTGCACGACAAAGCAGCAGGAGGAGGGGGATCACACACACACACACGAGGAAAAGACGAGGAGGAGAGGAACAGGAACATCGCAGTATCAGGCTGACGAGGAGGATGCGGATGACGCCGAGGAGGGAGGAAGAGGGGGACGAATATGATGATGAGGAGGAGGTCGTCGTCGTCGTCGTCGTCGTCGTCGTCGTCATCGCCTGTGCCCGGCAGTCGGGGTGGCCCGTGCATACCAGCCCGAAGGCTGTCGCCGGGCCGCTGGCGGAGCTCCCAGCATTGAGCGCACGTGGCGGCGGGAGCGGCTCGACGGCACGCAAGACTGACCCATCCGCCGGGCTACCTCCTGGTGCGGGCCCGACCGGGCACCCCGGTCGCGGAGTGGGGTGCGACAGCAGCGCTTTGCGCGCCTGGGTTTGTGCCCCCCACACACAAAAAACACGCACGTTTTTGTTTGTTTGTTTGTTTGTTTGTTTGTTTTTTTGTTTTTTTTGCGCCCCGCCTGAGGCCGCACACCAGATGGCACTCTTGCCCAGGGTCACTCTTGCGTGCAGCCGGGCGGCGGATGAGAAGCCATATTCCAGGGCAAGACACGGCAGAGTTCAGCACGCCTTGTACCTTTTGGCGTCCGCGCAGGTGCCTGTCCCGCAGAGAAAACAGCATCGTTCGGCGTCGCGCTGACGGATCGAGGTTCGAGTGCGTTTTGGTTGGAAGTGAATCGTTCGAATTTGAGTTGTTCTGTATCCGTGTATATTGTCACATGTGGAGGCAACCTGAGCAAGGGAGTCAAGCAAAAGAAAAGGTGTCTGCACGTTTTGGGTTGCTGCAGGATCGTGAATCGATGTTCGATGATCGAGGTTTCGCTTGTCGAGGGATGGCGCATCGAGGTTGGAGGTTTCGCGGGTCGAGGCCTCTGCGCGCTCTTGGCCGAGTGCTGCCTCGCCCCCCTCTCCGTAGCATCTCGGGGTCTCTCTGGGGCATCCGGAGGCTTCTGGAGGCCTCCGAGGACCTCTGGGACTCGCGAAGGCATCTGGAGACCTCCTGCGGAGCAGGGGATGGCGTGAGGGGGGCGGCTTCCGATCCCTCCTGAGGACCCCCCCTGGCCTTCTGGGACGGCCGCCCCCCTCGCCCCAACCCTTGCTGCGCGCCACAAGCGGTGCTCAGTAGACCGCCTTGCGCGAGGAGGCCGAGGCTGGGGGATGGGGTGCGCATCCGCTCTACATTGCCTCCAGCGGGCTTCACGGCATCACGACACCACGGCACCACACCACCACACCGCCGCACCACCTCGCTGCCACACCGCAGCGCCGACACCGCAGCACCGGCACCGCACCACAGTGCCACGCCACACCGCAGCACAGCGACACCGCGACACCGCGACACCACGACAGCCCACGCCACCACGGCACCACAGCACTCCAGCACGCCGCGGCACCCCACAAAAAAGCACTCCGCGACGCCCCACGGCACCCGGCGCCCGCCGTCCGCCGCCAGAGCCCTCATGTGTTTCTTCTTCTCGTCGGCTCCGCCCCGCGACCCACCCGCGACCATGCCACGCCCAGCCCCGCGACCCACCCGCGGCTCACACGCGGCTCACCCGCGGCCCGCCCCGCGACCTGCCCGCGACCCACCCGTCCACGGACCACCCACGACCCGCCGCGCGGTTCACCCGCCGACCTGCCGAGTGTCCATCCGCGACTCACCTACGTACACGCTGCCTGCGGCGGGCTCGTTGTGTAATGTGTTCTGCACTGGCGCTTGTGACGGGCTTCGTCGCATTTGCATCCAAACTGCCGACGACCCCCCCCCCGCCCCCTCGCTCTTATCCGCAGCTGCGGGGTCTGTGGTGATCTCCCTTTTTCCCTCCACTCGCCCTGACGACATGTGGAATTCCCGCACAGCCTCACACGGACATCGCGCACGACACGAGCACGAGCCACGGCTTCCCAGTGGGTTCGGAATAAGAGAAGCCGCTTCACCCCTGACCTCCATCCCATAACGGGTAGCTGCAGAGGCGCTGCCCGCATCGCTGGTCCCGCCGGTTGCGCCGAAGAGGCCTCGGCACGGGCAGCGCCGCCTCCTGCTACTGCCGCAGGTCCTTCTCCTCATGTTCCTTCGCTCCCTCTCTCCCTCCCTTCTCCCTCGTCTTCCTCCCTTCTCCTTCCCTTCTTCCTCCCTCCTCCTTCACCTTTCCTCCCTCCTCCTTCCTCCCTCCTCCCTCCTCCCTCTTCCATCCTCCCTCCTCCTCCTCGTTCTCCTTACCTTCTCCCTGTCGCACCCCCAGACGTGTCGGTAGGGCGGGCTGGGCGTTTCGCCTGAGACCCAGGATGGACGGCGGGCCGTTTTCAAAATGTGGCTCTCGCCCTAGCGCCGCGCAAATCCGTTTAAAAGCTTGCGGCCGTTTCAAGGATGGGGGGCGGGCCGCTTTCAGCATGCGGTTCTCGCCTCGGCGCTGCGCACACTCGTTCTAAAAGTTGGCAGCAGTGTCTGGGATGTATGGGGCTGGTTTCCAGAATGGGGCTCTCTCAGCGCCGCGAGCAATCGTCTCACATGTCTGCAACAGCTGCACGGATGAGGGCAAGTCCTTTTCAAAGTGGGGCTCTCGCCTCAGCGCCGCGCGCGTTCGTCGTCGTGCAGCAGTGAGAAGGGTGGAGGGTGGCTCCTTTTCAACATGGGGCTCTCGCCTCAGCGCCGCGCACGTTCGGTGTAGAAGCTTGCAACAGTTGCAGGGGTGTATGGGTTGCTCCTTTTCAGCATGGGGCTCTTGCCTTGGCGCCGCGCAACTTAGTTTTCAACTTATGCGGAAGGTCGGAGGGCGGGTCGCTCTCAAAATGTGGTTCTTGCCTTATCGCTGTGCACATTCGTTCAAAAATTGGGTGCAGTTACAGAAATGGAAGGCGGGGGTTCCTGCTCAACATGGGGCACTTGTCTTAGCGGCGGGCGCATTCGTCTGAAACGTTTGCAGCAATCACAGGGGTGGTGGGCGTCTCTTTTTCTAAATGGGACTCTCGCACGTACGTCTGAGAAGTGTGCAACGGTTACAGCGATGGAGTGCGGTTCATTTTCAATATTAGTCAGCGTGGATCCCAAATAGTGTGTTTCTAGCAATATGTGGTGCAACCTACGTTGTGCAATCTTGTTTGGGCAAGACAATCTAAGCGGTGCAAACTATATGGTGCAACCTATGTGGTGCAGTCGATGCTGTGCAATCCACGCTGTGCAATACATGTTGTGCTCTCCATGTCGTGTAATCGCGGTGGTGCGCTGCGTTTGTGGTGCAATCGAGGTGGTGCTCTCTGTATGGGGCAATATCTGTTACGCAGTAAATGTGCTGCACTGTATTTTTTTTTTCTGTTTCCAGCCATTGGCTCAACCTGTTTCTAATTCACTGCTGTAACTCTGTCGGTCTGTCTTGACCGCACAGCTGGTACTTCACCTTTCCGAAGCCTGCGCAGGGCCCGTCTCCCATGAACTGTTGGTCGGCCCTGGCAGGGAAGAATTAGGTTCCTTGCTCCTTTCTGTGCATAGAACCCGCATCGCAAACAGATCAGAGTCCCAAATCTCTGATGGACTCCGATAGCATGTGACACATGCAACTCACGGCCGTTAAAGACCTGAGTTCCCACTGGCGAGAGCACCACGTCTCTCATTAAACTCTTCACGCAGGGAGTGTCGAGGAAACGATTCAACTCTCTCCTCGGCGCGGATCCTCCACACTCCCTGCACCTAACTCTGGAGCCTAAGATGTGCGCACCATTGTGCTCCGTGATCTGGGTACTGCGAGCTTCTCTTTCCTTTCTCCCAGACAGGGCTCTCCTACTGGGCTGATGCCTAGGCACTGTCTCAATCACATTCTCCAGGACTTTGGCTAAATGTTTCCTGACCGAAAAACCTACAGCCGTCGCCATTTCCACCCTGCACCTGTCGGCAAACGGAATTCTGAACTCCTCCGCAAGTCTGCTCGCTGCCGTATCCGCGATAGCGTTGACAAAAGGGTGGCGGGATCTACTCTCTGCTCAAGCGCATCCTCTGCACTAAGGTGGCTCTCCACCTTCAGCACGCGAATCCCTCTGCTTGGGTGCTGGGCCAGTGTCTCACCTAGACGCCGCCAGACATCCACATGTGTGTCAGGAAACTTGCCTACTCTTAGCTTCTCGACTCCTCGCATGACATATTCGGAGTCCGTCACATAAATGGCGTGCGCCAGCGGAAGGACTGCAGCTGCAAACTCTAGCAACGCCGTGGCTTCACCACGGTTCACTGTCTGAAAAAAAGTCTGGCATATTCCATCCCTGCAAGTGCCCCAACCTCAACTCCCCCACGTCGTAACTCCCGTCCTCACGGAAACCGCCTAGGGTAGCAAAGGCCCAGGCCACTCGGCGCAGCTTGGGATCCTGATCTTTCCCTCCGCTGGCGTCTCCTCCTCCAAAGATGACGCCTGGTTCGCCAAAAACTTGGTGGCTCGACCTACCGAAACCATAGCTGATGTCCTCCTCTGTCGGCTCTGGGACACATGTCCACGTGGATGGCACCAATCCTCGAATCCACATGCTGGGCGTACTATCCGACTCTATCCGCGCTTTGGCAATTATGCTGCTGGAAATCGTCTGAAACTCCTGATTGGCTGGGCATTCCCAGCATCGATGCTTGTCTGTTTCTGGAGCCTGTCCGCAGCGAGGGCAAACGGCGTCAGGCTCCAGGCCATACTCGAAACGTCTCTGCCTACACCATGTCGCTCCTGTCATGACACACTGCAAAATGCCTTTCCACTTAAAATCGCTACGCTTTAAAGCCATGCGGCACTGTCGTCGGGGGCCTTCCATGTCGGGCACAAGCTGCAACCCTTCCCCCATCCAGGAGTTCTTGGCAGCCTTCGCCCAGAGTCTCCTACTGATACTGTCAGCTATGCACGCATACAGAATGTGCGACTTGTCGAGAGGGCCTCTCCCGATCATCTCCTCTGGGGCCTCGAACGTCTCTCCGATGTCACTGTGCCATCTCCATGGCCCTTCTGGGTTCCTTCCAAGATCGAGCATGGTACAGATCGTGGCTGCCATGGGTGAGCACACTCGCCTCCAGCGGTGCCTGGGGGCCTTGCTGCTTAAATTGGCTAGCATTCTGCCCCCAGCCCCGCTGCACACGCTCTACATTCACTCTCAAATCACCTAGAATGGCGAACCACATCTTGACTACATCAAAAACTGCTGTGTATGCTGTATCCTGCGTACCGTACTCTAGCGCTAGGAGGGTCGTCAAGCAACGGCCGTGTTCTTTC